ATGGATATCTGATAATCCAAAAGATGATGCCCTTTTCCGAAAGGCGCAACGAGCCTGGGATGCTGCGAGCGTTTCACAAGCAATACCCTTCCTACAACCTGACCCCCTTCTTGCACAGGCGCCACCAGCAGCTCATCGACGCCCAGGCCTTCAACAAGTGGCTGGCGGAGCGGCGGCTGAGGAAGGAGGGCGAATCCCACGCCGACTCAACCGGAGGATCGCCCAGTTGAGATGGGCACCCGCCGAGCGGGCGGGCGTGCGCAGGATGGCGCGGGACGTGGCGGCCGGCAGGAACACGTCCGAGTCGGGAGCCTACGGGGGGCTCATGTAAAATGGAGCTAGTGCTGGTGGTGCGGGAGGGCGTGTGGATGCTGGCGTCCGAGGCCGTGGAGATCCCCCTGGCCTTCGAGCATGAGCTGGAGGAGCACGAGGAGGGGCAGGAGATCCTGGGGCTGCTGAAGCGCCGCTGGACGATGCCGCGCCGCGTGGCCCTGCAGTACGACACGCGGACGAGCTATCTGTGCGAGGCGGTGGAGCGGGCCAGCGAGCTCAGCTACCTGGGGAAGCGGGGCCTGCGGGTCATGCTTAAGTAAAGAGATGGAGGAGCGGCGCACGCACGGCTTCCGCGTCAAGCCCTCCTACTCCCAGGTCCTGGGCTACATCGCCGAAGGAGAGCCCCTCCCCATCACCTATCCAAACCGCAACGCATCCATCCTGACTTCCAGTCACTTCTGGCTTCAGGACCTCCCCGACAGCACGGAGCCCGAGACCGTGGACCCTGCAGCAGCCTTTGAGGATGATCGGGAAGGGTACGATGGCGCGCCCTTCCCCAGGCGCGACTTCCTGCGCCCCCGGCCCTTCGACCTGGACAGCGAGTCGGGGCCGTGGACCCAGGCCAGGCTCTGAGAAACGACGGGTTGGAGCCCCCAGCACCGCCAAGCTTCCTGAGCAGGCTGCAGCAGGCCGAGGCGGCAGCGGGAGCAGCGGCGGGGCTGGCGGGCTCCGCCTGCCATCGCGGGGCACGGAGCAGATCTCTCTCACGCAGCGCGGAGGGGGCGCAACTGGATCGACCGGAACCTGCGCATCCCCCGCGTGCCCGACGGCTTGGCGCCCCCGCCCGACGAGGTGTTGTGTGGTATTTGCATCACTTTTCCCGAGTGCCAAGGGGATCCCGGCAAATTTTGACCGGCAAAGTTGTTCCTACCCTTTCCCGTTTTGTGTGGTATTTGCATCACTTTTCTAGCGTGCCAAGGGAATCCCGGCAAGTTTTGACCGGCAAAGTTGTTCCTACCCTTTCCCGTTTTGTGTGGTATTTGCAGGACTTTTCCAGGGTGCCAAGGGAATCCCGGCAAATTTTGACCGGCAAAGTTGTTCCTACCCGTTCCCGTTTTGTGTGGTATTTGCATCACTTTTCAAGGGTGCCAAGGGGATCCCGGCAAATTTTGACCCGCAAAGTTGTTCCTACCCTTTCCCGTTTTGTGTGGTATTTGCATCACTTTTCCAGGGTGCCAAGGGAATCCCGGCAAATTTTGACCCGCAAAGTTGTTCCTACCCGTTCCCGTTTTGTGTGGTATTTGCATCACTTTTCCCGAGTGCCAAGGGGATCCCGGCAAATTTTGACCGGCAAAGTTGTTCCTACCCTTTCCCGTTTTGTGTGGTATTTGCAGGACTTTTCCAGGGTGCCCAGGGAATCCCGGCAAATTTTGACCCGCAAAGTTGTTCCTACCCTTTCCCGTTTTGTGTGGTATTTGCATCACTTTTCTAGGGTGCCAAGGGAATCCCGGCAAGTTTTGACCGGCAAAGTTGTTCCTACCCTTTCCCGTTTTGTGTGGTATTTGCAGGACTTTTCCAGGGTGCCAAGGGAATCCCGGCAAGTTTTGACCGGCAAAGTTGTTCCTACCCGTTCCCGTTTTGTGTGGTATTTGCATCACTTTTCCAGGGTGCCAAGGGGATCCCGGCAAATTTTGACCGGCAAAGTTGTTCCTACCCTTTCCCGTTTTGTGTGGTATTTGCAGGACTTTTCCCGGGTGCCACGGGGGTCCCGGCAAATTTTGACCCGCAAAGTTGTTCCTACCCGTTCCCGTTTTGTGTGGCATGTGCATCACTTTTCCCGAGTGCCAAGGGGATCCCGGCAAATTTTGACCGGCAAAGTTGTTCCTACCCTTTCCCGTTTTGTGTGGTATTTGCATCACATTTCTAGGGTGCCAAGGGAATCCCGGCAAATTTTGACCGGCAAAGTTGTTCCTACCCTTTCCCGTTTTGTGTGGTATTTGCAGGACTTTTCAAGGGAATCCCGGCAAATTTTGACCCGCAAAGTTGTTCCTACCCTTTCCCGTTTTGTGTGGTATTTGCATCATTTTTCCGGGGTGCCAAGGGAATCCCGGCAAATTTTGACCGGCAAATGTTGTTCCTACCCTTTCCCGTTTTGTGTGGTATTTGCAGGACTTTTCCAGGGTGCCAAGGGGATCCCGGCAAATTTTGACCGGCAAAGTTGTTCCTACCCTTTCCCGTTTTGTGTGGTATTTGCAGGACTTTTCCAGGGTGCCAAGGGGATCCCGGCAAATTTTGACCGACAAAGTTGTTCCTACCCTTTCCCGTTTTGTGTGGTATTTGCATCACTTTTCCAGGGTGCCAAGGGGATCCCGGCAAGTTTTGACCGGCAAAGTTGCTCCTGCCCCAGGCCCTCCTGGGCACCAAGAAGCAATGAAACATAAGAAACAGATGAAGGATGAAGCAGATGAAGCAGATCATGAAGATGATGAAGATGATGGAGATGATGAAGATGATGAAGATGATGAAGATGATGAAGATGATGAAAATGATGAAGATGATGAAGATGATGAAGATGATGATGATGAAGCTGATTGGGATCATTGATGTCAAGGATGCACATGAAACATATTGGAACAACCGTGGAGATGAGAGAGATGATGGGGATGATGAAAAAAGATGATGAAGATAACACTGCTTCTGGCAAGGCCTTTTCTGGCGCTGGCACTTTGTGTCTTGGCTATTGTCAGAAAGTTTTGACAAGAGTGAGGGGATTTGAGCATTAGGGGGTTGGGGGGACTTGGAGCAAGTTGCGGCCTAAAATTCTACATGTGAGGGCAGGGTCCGCCCAGCTTCGAGGCCTGGTCGGGACTCCTCTAATAGTATTATAAAGGTTCGAGTCCCCGAGGCCTCGTAATCTTGCAAGCTAGAGGTGTTTTCGGATTTCGTGTGGGCCTCGAAAGGCCTCGCAAGGCCTCGAAACCTCGCAATTGAGGCCTCGAGAGGCCTCGCTCAGGCCTCGTAACAAGCTATAGGTGTTTTCGGATTTCGTGTGGATGAAGATAATGATGATGATAGATGATGAAGATGATGACGATAATGAAGATGATGATGATGATGCGGATGAGGATGAGGATGATGATGATGAAGCTGATTGAGGGGGCCCTCCCGCAGGAGGAATTAAATAATTTAAATATGAAGGCCCCGATTTAAATATGAATATTTAATTCGGGGCCTTCATATTTAAATTATTTAATTCCTCCTGCGGGAGGAAGCCCGGCCCCCCCCCCTCCAGGATTTAAACTATTTACATTATTTAAATTATTTAATTACCGGGCCCGATTTACATAATTTAAATATGAAGCTCCCGAATTAAATATTCATATTTAAATCGTGGCCTTCATATTTAAATTATTTAAATCGGGCCCGGGAATTAAATAATTTAAATAATTTAAATAATTTAAATAATTTAAATAATGTAAATAATTTAAATAATTTAAATAATTTAAATCCTGGAGGGGGGGGGGGGGGGGGGCGGGCCTCCTCCCCCAGGAGGAATTAAATAATTTAAATATGAAGGCCTCGATTTAAATATGAATATTTAATTCGGGAGTGGGCTTGGGATGGGTTTTGGGTGGGTTCATGCACATTAATGGGCTCTGGGTGTTTGGCTTAAAGGTGTGTCTTGGAGGGAAGTGTTTTGGCTTGGAGAGCGGCGTGTTTGGCTTTAGAGGTGCGTCTGGGCGGGTCTTGGAGGGGCGTGTTTGGCTTAGAGGTGCGTCTTGCAGGGGTGTGGTTGGGCGGTGCAATAAGCAAATGGGATGGGCAGGCTTAGAGGTGCGTCTTGCAGGGGTGTGGTTGGGTGTTTGGCTTAGAGGTGTGTCTTGGAGGGAAGTGTTTTGGCTTGGAGAGCGGCGTGTTTGGCTTTAGAGGTGCGTCTGGGCGGGTCTTGGAGGGGCGTGTTTGGCTTAGAGGTGCGTCTTGCAGGGGTGTGGTTGGGCGGTGCAATAAGCAAATGGGATGGGCAGGCTTAGAGGTGCGTCTTGCAGGGGTGTGGTTGGGCGGTGCAATAAGCAAATGGGATGGGCAGATGTTTAAAATCCTGCTGCGTCTTGCAGGGGTGTGGTTGGGCGGTGCAATAAGCAAATGGGATGGGCAGCTTCCTCACAAGAGCCGAAAAGAGGGTGGTTTAAGTAAATTGAGATGTTCAGGCCGAAATAGCACGCTTTGCAGGAATCCGGTAATATAATATTGTCAGACACGGCAATTTCACAGTGCGTACGCCAGTAGCATAAGAATGTCACTAGTGCGAAAAGGGATAAACATTTCAATTTACTTATACTCGTGATGTATGATAATTCGTGAAGAGTCACTAGTAGCATAAGAATGTCACTAGTGCGAAAAGGGATAAACATTTCAATTTACTTATACTCGTGATGTATGAGTCCGTGAGTACTCTGTGACTCATACATCACGAGTATAAGTAAATTGAAATGTTTATCCCTTTTCGCACTAGTGACATTCTTATGCTACTGGCGTTACTATTGAAATTGTAGTAACGCCAGTAGCATAAGAATGTCACTAGTGCGAAAAGGGATAAACATTTCAATTTACTTATACTCGTCAACGCCAGTAGCATAAGAATGTCACTAGTGCGAAAAGGGATAAACATTTCAATTTACTTATACTCGTGATGTATGAGTCCGTGACTCTATGACTCTTCACGAATTAGTGACTCGCCCAAACCTAATTTCAAACCTGGAAACCTGCACGTTTTGGGGGTGCGTCTTGGAGGGGGTGTTTAACCCCATTTGGCCGGTTGCGGTCCCTACAGTGCCAATCACCTTTCCCACCTTCCCCGCTCCCGTACGGGGAAAAAAAATATAAGCCACCAGAGGTGCGTCTTGGGGGGCGGGCGTTTAGCACCTTGGAAGGGGGGTGTTTGGCTTAGAGGTGCGTCTTAGAGGGGGGTGTTGGGCTTAGAGGTGCTTCTTGGACCCTACAGTGCCAATCACCTTTCCCACCTTCCCCGCTCCCGTATGGGGAATAATATAAGCCACCAGAGGTGTGTCTTGGAGGGGGGGTGTTTGGCTTAGAGGTGGGGCTGTTTAGGGCATTAGCCCTCCCTCCAAGACACACCTCTAAGCCAAACCCACCCAAAACCCACCCAAAACCCATCCCAAGCCCAGGCGACTGCCAGCGCCGGGTGGGGGGGGGGTGGGGGTGGGGGGGGGGGGGGGGGGGGGGGGGGGGGGGGGGGGGGGGGGGGTGGGGGGCCTATCTGAGTGGGACACTAAGCAAATCCTGCCTACGAGCACCAAGGGAGGGGACATACGACAAACCCTGGCGAGTCCAAAGCAAACCGTACGAGCACGAAGGGAGGGGACACACGACAACAAACACAAGCATAAAGTTGACAATGGCTTGTTCAATGCTGACAACTGCGGTTCCCATGCAAATTGCTCCGGCACTGCCCTGTGGCATATCGTTGAACAGCCGAATGCTAACCTTACGAACTCTGTAGCGCCAGGAAATTCATCACCCCGAAGATTGCCAAAAATGGATATCGGGCACGTAAAATCGTAAAGTTGACTCCGCGTTAAGAAATAAAACACTTTGAAAACGCGAGCAACTTT